CAAGGACTATTTAAACCCACCAAAGCAAGTTGACATGACTGATCAAAAGCAACAGCGTGAAAAAAGTCTTCAGAAAAAGGGTGAAGTTTCATGGCTCAGCAGCAGCACTATGGCAGATGAGCCATTAGGCCAGCACATGTACTGTAACACCCTCATGCAGCAGATGGGCCTGGACTTGAATCACAATCAAGGAAAAGCAGCACCCTGTGGTATGTGCTGAAGGTACTGGCAGGGGAGAGACTGCACAGATGGGGAAGCCATGGACAGTAACTCTTCACTCAACATGTTTACAGATCTCTGCTGTCCTTAGAAGCCAGATTCAGCAGCATTTGTGTTGTAGGTACAGTTATGGTTAAGAGGTGAAGAACCACCTCTTCCATGATGTTCAATAGCTGCCTACATGAACTAGGACAGAAAGGGGTCTCATCCAAGCCAAAAGTCAGTTTTCTTAGACAATTATTTAAGAGGGAATCTTTGTAGGACCTCACCTTAGTTAATGAGCTCTACCAGGGAGTAGCAACTGAAGTGACAGCTATGGATGGCTCCTAAAATACCAGTCAATACTAACAATATGGAAATGCATCCAGTTTTGCAAATAGAATAAAGGAAAAGAGCTTTGGCTAATATAAAGTGTGGTGCCTCTTACTAATCACTGTACTTCTCTCCAAACACCATGGTTCTCTTCACAGGGGCTCACCCTGCATGTGGTGGGTGCTAACTGTGCCAGCACACTGCAGAACGTGAGGCAGTGTGGAGGGGACTTTGCCCCTTGTACTGACCTCTGTATCCTCCGGCTTCTTCCAGGAGCCATCCAACGGATCCCTGTCCACTGCAGCCTACACTGGCTGAGTGAGGGAACTCTTAACAGAGCAGTGGCTCATCTCCCCCATGAGGACCCCCAGCAGTGACAAGTCCAGGCCATTCGGTCTAAGGGGCGAGTGGCCGTGTTCAACTTGATTTGCCTTGTCTGCCTGCACTGTCTGTGCCTCGGCCTGGATGTGTGAGATCTGTCTGGATACAGGCAGGGAGCGCAGGACAAGCTAGACTCAGCACTAACACCCAGAGCTGCTGCCTGGAGCTGCCTCAGCACCTCACCGAGGGGCATCAGCACCTCTGAGTAACGGACGCTGCAGGGATTCATTACAAACACCACATCACAAACGGGTAAAAAGAGAAGAGTTTTTATTGGTTAAATACTGTAGAGCTGACAGTGTTTGAGTCAGGAGAGACATGCAGATAAAGTGTGTGTTTACATTTGGCATGCAGACTAAGAGCACTGTGTAACTGGAAGGAGGTGAGCACCATCTGTATCCACTGCATGGGCAGCCTGGAGAGGAAAGAGCTGGCTTCCCTCTACTAAGCATGCTGAGACAGGGAGAGTTTTGAGAGGGTGAAACAGTGCTGATAGCTTATTGGACACAAAGTTTGTTTTAGGGAAATAGGCAATACTGTAACCCTGGAAAATTGGCTTAACTTGGATGTCTGTGATTATGAAAAGATTTCTTGTATTATTTGTTCTAACTAAGCTGCCCTAGCCCAAATATATGTCTGCAAATACAAAAAAATAGATTTATTCTCTTAAAAATACATTCCATGCAGCCTGGAGTGCTGCTTCCCCAAGGCAGGAGCCTGCACTGCACACGGGGCAGCCCAGGAACATGATCCTTCGGGTCCTGGGGCCACGACCGACACTGCCTTCGCCTTCCATCGCCTCAGAGCGGCAGCGGGAGCCTGGGCCCGGGGCAGCGCCTGGCGGCTCCGGCGGGCACAAGGCTGGCAGGGGAGAGGGCTGCTGGATTGGAGCTGACACCAACAGGACTATTGCTTCGCTCTGTGGCTGGGAAACTGCTCGTGTCAAGTGCCTCTGGAAGCACCAAGGTGTGCCACCCTGCCCTGTGCTTCCTGCCCGTCTCCCTCCCTGTAGGCCCTGGCTGCAGGACGGGGGAGGGCGTCCCCTGAGCCCCTCCTCGGTGGCGGTGGAGCTGCAGCCGGACACCCCACCACGCTGCCCGATCACTGGAGGGGTGCTCTGCCTGCTCAGGGTCTCCTGGACACAAAGGAAGCTGCTCGGTGAAGCAGAAGCTGCTGGGCCCTCAGGCTGCTGCCAACCGCTCTGGGAGAGCCGCTGCCTCTCCAGAAGGGACCAGCATCTCCGTCTCCTTGGGAAAAGTGAGCACTGACACACTTCCTCTGTACAGCAAATACATTTACAACTTTGGAATTACCCGAGTGCTTGATGCACAGCCTCATGGCGTCATCAAGCCCACTGAAAAGCCTGTTATATTTATATGCTAAAATTACAAATATTTCTTCAGTGATGGCAATATTTACACATAGACTCTATTTTACAGCTGTTCAAAAAAAGTGTGCAAGTTGAGTAAAACACATTGTGTTTCCTGAAGTCATTGCTATAAGTTTAATAATACAATCAGCTCCTATTGCACTCATGATTACAGGGCATGGCCCCTTTCAATTTTCAGGAGGGTTTTCTTTCTCAGATTGAATCTCGGTTGTGGTAGAAACAACCCAGTGTACAGTTACTGACTGACATCTGTGTTCGTTATTTACAAGCAGTGAGACTGAGTCTAAAGCAAGATTTCAAGGTATGTGCTCTAAAATACTGAACAAAACATTGAGGCAGCTGGAGAAAGAAGAGACCTTGCCTGTGAGAAGCACCTGAGGAGAGCAGACAGTGCCCGGAGAGCCGCCCGCACTGCTGGGGCAGCAGCTGGGGCTCCTGCTGTGCGCCGCGAGCCGCTGAGCAGCAGGGTGAAGCCCTCCGGTTGCCCGTAGCTAAGGAGGAGCCTGGTCCTGGCTGACAGAAGGGTAAAACCAACAGCTCTTGCTGCTGGTGGTTTTTCCCTTGCACTTCAGGCATGGGGTTGTGTTACCGAGGTGGGCCGTGGGTTGAAGAGCTGGTGGGTAAGTCAGAGTTCTGTGGGTGGGTAGAGGGAAGCCTGTGTTAACCCAGCGTGTCGTATCCTCGGGACTCAGAGCTTTCCCAGACAGGACTGAAACCAGTTCCCTTGGAAGGAGCTTTGGAAGCACCATGCTAAGCCGTTTCGATGCCAAGAACACGAGGAGAGGGCTGGTGGATGTGTCTGGGGGGCGTGGGCCGCTGTCCTGCAGCAGTCAAGAGCCGCCACGCAGCGCTGCGTCCTCGGCCCCTCCAGCGCGTGTGCCCGGGCCGGCTGCTGGGGAAACGGCTCCGAGTCCTGGGCAGCAGCGATGTGGCAGGGGGGAGGCTCCCAAAATATGCTGCTGCTCTCTGAGACGGGAGTGCGGGGCCAAGCAGGTTGTCAGCAGCAGTTCTATACTGTGAAGCTGGAGAGCTCCTTAGCAGCAGGTTTGGGAATGTAAATAGAGGCAAACAAGGCCTGTGCTGGCTGAAGAGGCAGGGACACGCCGAGCACAGCGCCAAGATGCAAACCCTCAGGTTAAGCAGCAGGTACTGCAGGAGGCATTGGGGCCACTGGCTGCAGAGCAGCTGCACTGGCTCGAAGGGGTTTTTGCAACAGCATCTCCCATGTAACAGGTGGAAGAGGACCTGAGGCAGCATATTTAGTTTTGAAGGCAAATGTTTTTAACATGAAAACAAGGGGCAAAGAGTCAGACCGCAGCATCCTGAGGCTGGCAGAGGCCAGCAAGCAAGCCAGCCCCGTGAGAGCGCTGCCGAGACGTGGCACTTGCTCCTAGTGAGGCTGCAGTTCTGGTTATCAGCTGTGGGAAGCCGGTGAGCTCAGCCAGGGAGGCTGCTGCTGCTCAAACAACCATCTCAGTAATGTCTTTTTTTGTGTGGTGGTGGGGGTGATCCTGCCATACAGTTAACCTCTGAGCAAAGCAGGGCGCTCAGGGTGCATATTGTAATTTCACAGGCTTATTTTTAAAAAATTAATCCGTTGTGGTTTCAGATTGCAAAATACTCACTATTTTCAATACTTCCTGATAAACATGGGACAAAGGGAGGCACTTCACAAATCTGAATTTAACCTCAGAATTTCAGTTTCTTTCACTTTTAGTTTGGATTTCAAGTTTAAAAATATCTTCCCATTATACTTGATCTATTTATCTCATTCTCTACTAGCACTACCATGACATGAAATGGTAAGAGATAGCAGTTGATATAATTTATTTTTATATAATTTAATTTAAAGATTATTAGAGCTGCCACTTAGTACTAATTTAAAAGCATTATCTTTCTGTCATGTTATGCAACTTGACATTTATACATGTCATGAAATACAAAAGAATAAAATGAAGGGTTAAAAATATAAACTTGAGAAACCATCTAAAAATTGCAAAACAAAACACTTTTTTCAAAAATAATTTTTCCCTTCCTCCAAACAATCTTTATTTTTAAAAAAATCATGTTATGAAACACTTTCCTTTTTATATAAATGCTTTCATAGATATTTTCCAACCAGCTCTGGTTTTTCAATTGGTTTGCCTCTCAGAATTGAGGCATATAACTCCAAGGGCAGGGAGGAGGTATGGCATACAGCTGTGCACACGGATACTCACACGCTGGGATGAGTGTGAGGTGCAGCTCTGACATGGCAGCTGTTGGGTTGCAGCTGTTCCCACTGCACCCCCAAAATAGAGAAGGGACCTCTTCCCTTCTGCAGCGTTGTCTCATCCCCCCGCAGAGGGGTGTCTGTTCCCAAGGGGCAGCAGAAAGCCCTGGGGGAGGTCAGTGGTGGTTGTGTGCAGGCTGGGGCAGCCGTGGGGCAGCCCTGCAGCTGGGGAGGGAGGGGAATGTGAAGGAGGGGCTGGCCGGCTCTGGCTGTGCCATCACTTTGCCCAGGGCAGATGCCCCAACGCCCGAGCACCCCTGGGAGCTGTGGGAGCTGTGTCCCCCCGGCAGCGATGGGCGCGGACAGGGCACAGACAGAGGCTACCCAGGCAGCTACATGGGAGCTCATCTCACGGGCCGATCCTGCTGTCTCCACCCTGGTTTTGGAAGGAAGAAGGACATTCTGCCTGTCTGTGAGGTTCTTTTGCCCTTAAGAGCTTAACTGCTGGGAGCAAGCAGCAGAGCTGTTGCCTGCAGAGCATGATAGTCATAAAGCCTCAGGTCAAAAAGCAACCCCAGTCCAAGTCAGGAGGAAGTCTCACTGCTGCCTGAACTGCTGTGGGTTTGGCCCAGTGGATGACTTCTTGGTGCAAGATCTCAGCTGGCAATGAGTAGGTCATGCAAAGCTTGTTGCAGAGACTGACAATAGGGAAGAAACTGCTTCTAAACAACATTTTCTGCTCTCCTTCCCTCTTAATGTGTAAAGCAACCAGTGGGGAATGGTCTCCTCCTGCCTAGAGACAGAGGCTGCTGGGAACACAGGTACTGAGGTGACCACAACCCAGGCCAACAAGGGTGTATTAGGAGAATGCCAACTCTCCCCAGGAACTGAAAGTTTTCAGTTGTGGAGCCGTGTAGAACAGCTGTCATGGGCTGGTGGACTGTAGTCACAGGGATACTTCTGGGATCTTGTCTAAATGCAAGTGATTAACAAGAAGTTCTCTCTTGTCCAGGGAGTACCATCATTCAGTGTCTATGCAGTCAAGATTTCCATATGGAGACAGACCTATCATCCTATGGAGAGGATTAAGAATGCAGGTACAGAGATGAGAAGTGGGAGTCCCCTGAGCAAAGTCTCTGCAGCTGCCTCTTCAGCAATGAAGAAAAATAATTCACTGGTAAAGCTCCTGTACCTTGCAAATTGCATTAGGAAACTGGTTTCAGGCTAGCTGAAGCCTCTGGTGAGGTTACGAACAGGTGTGACGCCCATGAGCTTGGTACTATCCTGCCTCTTGCTCCACTGTGCAGCGTGTTCATTGAGTGGAAGGCAATACAACTCATCTCCGAGATGTTGTCCAGCAGGCACGGGAAGTACCCTGTAAGAGACAACCCTGCAGCATCACAGACTGGCCAGAACCTCAGCTGCCTCTGGCAGCATTTTTGCTCTTGGTGAGAGTATCAAGATTGCCCTTAGGCTGTCATCCTAAAGCCCATCAGGATCCTAGCCCGATGGTGGGGCAGGGGAGGGCAGTGGCAGGATTGCAAGATACAGGCTCTGCCAGTGTTTACAGAGGAGTAAGCCCAAAGCAGAATGCCCACACAGGCAGGGCCTATTATCTTTTTTTATGCTGTAGCATACCCTGCACCCACTTCCACATGCAGCATGTGGATACTGAGACGCACGACACGTGACAGCACAGAGGAGATGGAGCTGATCTAACGTCAGAGCACATCTCAATGTGCACAGTGTTCAGGCTCCTGTTACAGCTGGTGGAGGCCTGGGCAAGACAGAAGATCCAAATGATGGTGTCTAAATTACAGGGACCTGACTTTACCCAAGTTTTTATCTGGTGTTGCCCCAGTCTGTGCACACAAAGGAGGCTGGGCACAGCACGGCTTCGGGTACAGGGGCCTGCATGTGGCCAGATGAACATCACTGTGGGTAACACCTCTTGGTGACCACACAGAGCATCACTGCAGTGTCCCTTTCCTCAGCTACCAACAAGGACAGTGTCAGTTCACTAATCTCTACTGCAAACATTACCTATCTCTAAATGTCAGTCTGCAAAGCTCAGCTGGGACTACGTCTCTCTGGGCTTCACCAAGAGGTGACTGTGTAGGGCTCTCAGCTGCCTCACTGCAGTCCTGCTGCTCTCACATTAAGACTCAGCAACTCCTGTGCACATCCAGTAAGATACACTGACAACAGGTTTGAGTCTTAAATATTTCCTGCTCTAGGTGATCCATAAATGGAAAGATGCACTTTGCTCTGGGCACCTACATGGGCAAAGAGGGAATGACAGGAGAAAAAGCAAGTCTTTTGTACAGACATAAGCACAGCTGTACACCTAGAAATTAAAGTCTGCCCAGACCCTATCTCCTCGGAAGGGAGCTCCCTCTGAAGAGGCTGGAATACACATTTTTTCATATTTCAGGTAATAAGTCTCATTCACTACAATGTGGGCCATTTTCCACTTCTTTGTGTGTCCAGGAAGATGTGTTTTAGGAGGCAGAGCAGCAAGTATGTCGCAGCAGAAAAGCACCCTAGTACTACAGCAGCCATTTGAAGCAGGTAAATCAGGGGCTCTGACTTGGTCTCTCCAAATGTTTTTTCTTCCATCCCTGATTGTCCAATGTGTGCCAGAGGATGACTAGATGCAGTGCCTCTTACTCCCTGGAGAATGTTTTTAGCCATTAAGCTAACTGAAACAAGTATAGAACAGAAAAATAAGGTAGTACTTTTTTATCGGTATAGGAAATGAGTAGAATAATTTACTGAGGCAATGCAGTAGACACTCCACCTTTGGGCAGTGCTAATTTGAGCCTGGATTTCTCCTAAAAGGTAGGTAATTCATTTTGCACAAGTTCTCTTAAATTATGTTACTAGGAGATTGGTTCAGATATTGGCTTCTTGCCTTGTAACTCTCTTTTCTGGATGGTCCTTGAACTCACATACCTGCTCCTCCACTTGGAGACCCAGTGGTGCGTGGGGGTTGGATTCAGGGTCCTGCAGCTCCGTCTTGGTGGCTGGCCTTTTCCCTGGGGTGTCAACCTGGGAGAGGTACTCAGAAGAGCCGTATTGTTTTCTTCTGGAACTGGGCACAAAATCTTTGCTTTCATCCTGTGTGAAGGAAAATAAAGAGGGTTGGGACTCGGGGACTATGAAGGGGTCTGGAACAGTCTGGTCCTGGGCTGGCAGTGTGAGGTGCTGGCTTGAGTCCCTTTGGCAAGGGGCCACTTGGGCCATCAGGCCAGCTCTGGCATGTCCTCACTTACATGCTATTTCATAAAGATTCTTTTGTTAAAACCATCTAATAATTTTAATCCAAGTTATAGGTGTGGAGTCTTCTGTTCAGCTGAACAACCTGTGCACAACTCTGTGCTCAGCCCGCTGGGCCCAGAGTGCTTGTCTCCATGAGGGACTATCAGCAGAAAAATCCCACAATTTAGTGACTGAAGCAGTTTCTTAGAAGTACTGACTCTGAGTTTTAACTACCAAGGGTGGGGGTGGCCAGCAACCCAAATCTCTGATTTTCTTGGCTCTAAGGATGTGATGTGGGAGTGTCCTGCACTGTTTTCCTGCTGTAGGCATCTACATGGCACTTTTAAACTCACTAATGTTTTCCTGAATGTCCGCAGAGACACTTCTGGGATCGTAACCTGGGATTCAGGCGCCTACGCTCTGCCTCAGGGCTGGCTGGGGCACCGGGTGCTTTACTGAGGCTGCACCCTGCTGTGAGTAGCAGGATGAGGAGTCCCTGTCACCCTCCAGCTTCCTGGGAAGATGGCAGTGCTTTTGCTGTTGCTGTCACAGGCTGGAAAACCTCCTTATCCATCAGTTCCTGCACACTGTAAGACACCATCACTTCAACATCACAAACAAAGCAAATCATTACAATGATGATCATATAATTGCAATAATCTCATCAGCTACTGGGCCAAGAGCACTGGCTGCACTGCACTGCTGAAGGCTTTACCAGCGCTGCTCACTTTAGGGATGGCATCATGGCCTCTGAAGGGGCTGCAGGTACCAGTGGAACAGATTTGGTCCCTGCCCTATAGCAGGGAAGTGAGAGGCAGCAGCCCCTGTGCCTGGCAGAAAAGCATCTCTGAGATGGACTCCAGGCTTTGATGGGCTCTTAGAAAGAAGCTGTGACATCTGGTGTGTCTGGATGGGCAAACATTTGCCCTGAGTTGGCCCCACGGTGGATGACATACAGCAAACACTAGACCTGACATCCCCCTTGTGATCCAGGCCCCACAGCTGAAGTGAGATGGCAGCATCAGCACCTCGGTGAACAGGCACAACGCAGGCAGAGGTCCCTTGGGGACCTCCAACCAACCATGGGCGCGAGATAACCATGGTGGGCCAGGCTCCTCATAAAAGCAAGGGGATCATTTTAATTTAATGAATGTCAATCATCTTGATGGACCTGGACAGCTTAGCAAGGACTAGGCACATCTGTATTTCTGATACAGTAGTTGTCTTTAGAGGTGAGGCCACTGGGTGAGCATATAGAAGCTCCATTCCCTCGGGCATCTGACAGCGTCAGTGTCCTTTTCGGCTGCCAGGCAGCATGAATTTATGACTATCAACCCAAATACACTGGTCTCAAAGAGTTTTGTAGGTAAAGAGCTGAGGCAGGGCCATCAGGCTGGCCACCCCCATGTGTTGGTGATGTAGACCAGTACCTCCTGGTGCTGGCACCAGAGCCGGGCCCATGCAGAGTTCGGCACCCCAGAGGACAATCAGGTGGTCACTGACAAGCACCTGGGAAGCTGCTCGGAACAGACTGTGACCCCCAGGATTTGCACAAAACAGGATGGAACTCTTGGACAAAGTTACTGAGGTCGACACCACTGATGTGGCATAGCTGGCTGCTTAAGTGGAAGCTTATATAGAGTCAGCAAGAGTGAAATGGTGTATTAGTGCCTGAAGCAAAGAAGAGAGGGGGCAAGAGGTAGCACATCCCTGGATGCTGTCAGGGAGACTTTTCCCTGAGACCCACCCACCATGTATAGCTTCACTTGCAGAAAAGCTTACCTTTAGGTTCTCACCTAATTTATGCAGCACACAGCCCAGCTCCAGTCGTATTAATGTCGCAGCCATTAGAAAAACTCATTAAGTGCATTCATGTTGCATTGCTGCCTGCTCACCTGCTCAGAGCCTGCCAGTGCCTTTGGACTAATTCCGGCATTGCACATGTTCCACAGTCAAACATCCCACCAGAGAAATACCCGCTTCATTCTCTGAAACGTGAAGCTCAACAGGACTGCTCCAGGTCTTGCATGTCCTCAGGTCTCCTGTGGGAGCCCGAGAAAGGCTGGCTGCGAGCACTAGAGGGAGCTGGGCCTCGGGCTACAGCACCCATCTGCCAGCACCCACCGGCTTTCTGGGGCCCCCAAAGCAGCACTCGAGGACCTGCTGCTTCTGTACCACAAGGATTGCTAACAGCAGCCGACACCTTCTGCAGCTTTATCAGGGACATTTGCCTATACCAGCGGTACAAAACCAGACGGCTGAAATTCCACCTTGTGCCTCGGCATCTCCTTATTTCCAGGTGCTCGGTTTGGGTCTGTCCTGAGGGACAGGCCGGGGCAGGGGCCAAGCCTCCAGCTTGCTTTAGCCTCCTGCTGTGCTGCTGCAACTGGTCAGATGTCAGGAGTGTTCCATGGAGGAGAGGAAGATGTATTGTGGGAAAACCAGCACAGACCCCGTGTTTCTCAAATAAGATTCTTAAGGCAATCTCAGAGTTTGGATAGTGGAGCTGGGAAGAGATGGCAGCACAGCTGAATGTGCAAAGTTAGCAGAGATCAGTGCCAAGCCTTCTGCCAGAGAAACATCTTGAACTGAAACTCAAATCCCAGCAGAAACAGACTGCTTGTGACATGAGGCATATTATAAGCCTAAAGATACTCTTCAAAGGCAGAGATTTTGTTTTTTTTCCAAGGGCATATGCAATAATTTGAGCTGCTCAAATACATAAAATCTGGTATATCTGCAGCCTTTCTGGGTAACTTCACGCTCCTCGTTTACAAGATAAAAATATACTTAATTTATGACCAAGAATTCAGATTTGTGACTATGTCAGGGTGATTTTATATCAAAGTATGATGCACAGAGATACCTAACTCAATACTCAACAGCCCTGTGTGAACTAACCCCACAGTCGCTCTCCTGACTGCTTGTCACTGCAGACACAGGCCAGGCTGGAAGCCCACTAATTCATCAGGGAGACCCAGGATGACCACGCAGTGGTCAAGTTGCTCTGTCAGGCACAGTTCAACAGCTGTCGCAGGCACACCGCACAGCTAGCTAACTTGGTATGACAGTGACCTTGAGACCACTGGCAGAATGTACTGCAGAGCTGTACTCAGCCCTGGGTGGGCTGCTAGGGGGAAGATGGAAAGAAATACGAGTGCCCACTCCTTAGGGGTCCGTGACTGACCACACATGAGCCCAGCTGCAAGTGGAGAGCTCTTCAGCTGTGAGACTCAAGGCTGTAAGTGCTGTGAATTCAAACTCCTGGTATAAAGGGTGGCTTGAGGATGGATTTCCCATTTCTCAAGCTCCTTTTACTCAGAAGTCGTGTCAGTCTTGTCAGTCCTGCCTAGATTCATGAAAGAGAAGTACAGACTGCCTGTGACTCACGAGTGACCCCGGCCAAGAAGACAACGCATTCTCAGTGTCCAAAAGTAGCTGGAAGGCCAACCTGCACTTTGTAACACCAGGCAATGGTGCAAATTCTGCACGTCTCATCGCCAGAGAAGTGGAAGAGAAGTTTTGCAACTGTAAAACTCTTTTCACAAGTCCACCACCTCACGCTTGTCAATGTCAGAGTCATTTGGCTATGAATCTGTCCCCAGGCCTGTCAGCTTACTCAGGTGGGTTCCTCCTGGAGGCTGGAAATGGCAGCACCTGCTTAGAGCAGCTCTTAGTAAAGAGCAGAGGAAGGAGCTGCAGCAGGAACCAGTATGTGGTTTAATGGACTTGAAGGGCACTTGGTGGCAGTGAACTGACTTGAAATATTATGCTGGAGCCTGCAGCTCTGGTGGCAAGTATGGTCTGTGTGTCAGCCTTGCTTTGAGGGACTCCCCTCACTAGTACCAGCCAAAGCAACAGGAAAATTGCACAGCCATCCCCATGGCTCTTGCTTCTTTTCAGGTGGCATACTGACACAGACCAAGGAGGGAGCAGCCCTGCATAACCAGCCACCACTCATCTGTTTAGGAGATGCCTGGGAAGCATTTCCAGACCAGAGTCTGGTTTCGTATGGGGAAACCATGCATGCAGCTCTTACCAAAAGGAGCTGTATCTCTACAGCTGCTGTCAGAGCTATAACCCTGCCTGAGGCACAACCCTATTAAAATCTGCTCATTTCTACCACTTTTTCATTACTACTCCAAGTTGACAGTGCCATGCAAAGTCACTCTGAAAAGTATACCGTGCCCTACATAAGCTGTGACTATATCTTCTCTGATCTTGGCAAGACCAAATGCTACTATATAGTTATAGACCCAAGCAGATGGATCTAATTTCAAGAAGTCTAAATTGGGTATTTCACATATGAGATGCTCCACTGAAGATAACAGGAGGTGTGAGAGGGCAGCACTTCAGGAAATAAGCTGTAAGAATTTCATATCAGGCATCCTACAACTAACAGACAACTTGGAAGACCTCATCAGCTGAAAGACAAGAGTGTTTAACTTAAGGATACTTACAGGTAGTGTGGTCCGGTGCCAAGCAGCAGCTGTTGTAGGATCACTTGCATAGCTCCTGCGTGTTAGCAGTTCAGATGCACTTAAGTTACTTTTGGTCCTTCGGGAGCCCAGTTCAGGGGCACTCCAGGAATTGGCCGTGTCACTGGTTCTTGCTGAGTTCTGCTCCAGGGAGTTTGTTCTTGCACTGTTCCCTTCCATTTCTGCGAGGTCCACTGAGGACCTACACGTGTTTGTAGTACTGGAAGCTGCACTTTTTTCCACTTTGGTCTGAGAGTCCTCCAGGGAATGTAAGCCTTGTCTTGTTATCCAGGAACTTCTCACAGTGACGTGTTTTGTTTCGGATAAAGCTGCATCTGAAGAGCCATGGCTCTTCCAACTGACTGTCTCTGAAGGCAGCTCAGTGTTCCTCTCCGTGAGTTCAGAAGTCTTTATCACAATGCTGCTTCTGGAAACCACTGTTTCTGCTTTACTTCTCAGCGCTGACTCTCCAACTCTATCCATCTCAGATAATTTCAGAGCACTTTTATTAATTGATATCTCAAAGGGTGTGGGGAGATTGTTTGTTACTGGTGAAGGCTCATTTGGAGCAACTCTGATGTTGCTAGTGGTAACATGCCTTTCCTTTGCTGCTAGATCTGCACTGGTCCTTGGAGCTGTTGGCTCAGAAGGGAAGATTGTGATGCTGCTTGTCATTTTATTTGTTACTGTTTTAAAAACAGACTTCTGTTTTTCTGACTCTGCCTCAGAAACAGTCCCTCCCATGACTGCCTTCATATCCTTTTCAACAATTGCAGGTTTAATGACAGCTTTTGATCTCAGAGCTTCTCTCGGGCTGAATGACCTTCTGGATTTAAATCCTCCAGTGCTGGCATCTGATGGTTTTATACACTTGGTGGAGTCTTCATCATTTACAGTGTTTTTGTCATTTTCAAAAAGTGATGTTCTAAAAACCCTGGAATTGGAATACTGCTTGGAACTGACTTTCTTTCTTGTCTCAAAATCTGACTGAGTAGTTGTTTTTTTGCTTCTTCCCGATTCCTCATCTGAATTAAGTTTTTCCTGGTTACTCTGGATGGTTTTGGAGTCCGTTTTTAAGCCAGCATTTACAAGATCCGTTGCTGAAGACTGCTCCATGTCTTCTTTATCAAGACCTGTGAGAATCTGCAGAATGTCTTCCTGACTTCTGGAGCGATGGGAATGCTTTGCTAGTGTTGAAGGCTTTGCACTTTCAACTGATGTGTCTGCAAATTCTCTTTCCTGGGAGATTATTGCTCTTTTAGCCCTCCCCTCCGAGGGCTGTCTGTGTGATGCAGCAAAAGTGTTCACTGCTTCTGCTTTAGAGCCAGCAGAGTCCAACGCCGACACATGGGAGGAGAGGTGGTACCTGTATGCTGAAGCTGTGCCATTCGAAGAGCTGTGACTGCCCCTGGTGAGCAGTACATCCCCCGAGCACTCACTGACTTCTGCCTGACTTGTTTTCAGCTTCTCGGCCAAAGCAGCCACTGATTCTCCTTTGCCTGACTTTTCATCCCGTGCGTCAGCACTGCCACGGAGCATCTGAGATGGCTTTTCAGCCTTGGATCTCAGGCCTGTGTCACCAACAGGTTTGGAAGGTGCTTTCCAAGATTTCTGCTCCTGTGCAGCAGGAGGATATCGGCTGAGGACAGACGGCTGCTCTTTTGATCTCTTCCCCTCATTCTGACTGACGCAGCCTTCCTTCTGACCAGAAGAAAAAGTAGAAACTGAAGATTTCTCTTCCAGTCTTTTTGTATCTGTGACAGCAGTGTCTGAAAGGGCAGATGCACCAGATGCTTTTCCTGTTTTTCTGTTCATTAAGCTTGGACTGGGCACCTGCTTACCACCGTGGCTGTAGCTGTCGTTATTGACAGAGAAATCTCTGTTCCTCACTCTGTCCCGGCGCTGCTGCGGTGAGAGCTCCCTTGGCTTGTGCTTGGCAGCTGTCAAATCAGCTGCGACACCTCTGTATTTAGGTCTGTCATGTTTTCCCCTGCTAGAAATGTTTGTATCTTCGTTTTCAACCTCTCCATTCTCCAGATCTTTCTGTTTCTTTATTTGCATTTTCATTTCTTCTAGCTGACCCGTTAAGAGTTTGTTTTTATTCTGTTCACTCAAGTAACTGTCTTGCAGGTCACTGTTTTTGGCTCTCATTTTTTTAAGTTCTTCCTCTAAAGATTCAAAACGTTTCACCTGAGTTCTAAGTTTCTCAATTTCTTGGGTGAGATCTTTCACTTTGTTGTCTTCCTGATTTTTATTCTTTTGGTTTTCTGATTTATTCCTGGTTTCATTTTCTACATGTTTCAGGTAATCCACACTTCCCTTCTTCCTGGTCTCCTTCGAGGGCAATGCAGAAGTCAAGTCATCTTCAATTCTCAAATCATTTCTGTCCAGAAGATTATTTGATGACCTTTCTAGCAAGTTGGATGCATTTCTAGTTTGATCTGCCCTATTTAGTTTATTGTTTTGTTCTAGTTTCTGTGTTAGCTCCTGGATTATTTTTTCATTCTGCTTTTCTCTTTCATTAAAATGTTTTCTTTCAGTGATAAAGCTCAGCGCTAAGGATTTCAGTTTTTCTAACTCACCCGTTAAGCTCTGCTCTGTTTTATCCAGCCTGTCCTCAGATGCTTCCAGTTCTTTCACTTTCACTCTAAGTATTTCTAATTCTGTAGATATCTTTTTGGTCAAGTTCTTTTCTTCATTTAGGCTAAGACACAGCTGCGTACAGTCATTCTTGCTCCTGCTGAAGGCCTCTTCCAGCTTCTCCAGCTCTGCCATTCTCCTCTGAAGGTGTTCAATTTCTGACTTCAGCTCTCGGGTAAGGCTCTCTTCCTCTTCAAGTTTTTCTTTCATTAACCGGCAAAGCTCTTCAGCCTTTCTGATTTCTTCATCCTTGCCTTCAATCTTCAGCACTCTTTTCCGCAGGGCTTCAACATCAGCCAGCATGGTGGAGTTGCTGCCTTCTGCCTGGATAACTTTGTCTTGGAGGTCAAGCAGCTCATCCTCTGCTTTCTGCAGATTTTTGGTTGCTTCCTCCAGTTCATCAAGGCGGCGACTAAGACTCTGCAACTTGAAACGTAGGTGCCGATTTGAGGTTTCCTTGTAACCTGTAAATTCTGCCATGTTTATTTTTTAATTCCTTTTAATTGAGAGCTTTGTTTAGTCGGGGTGAATGGTGTGGTCTTTAACACCTTGTGTATTCCTAGTACGTTGCTGTTTCTTTGAACAGAGGCAATCTCACCCTGAAAGAAAAAACACTTAAAATCAATATAAAAGCTCAGAATAAATATTCTCACTGTATAAGTTACACTATAAACGTTTATATAAATAACTTTTTAATTAAACACACTTCTAAATGCTCAATTAAGAGAAATGAAACTGCAGGTAAGAGCCACAGTCTATTTACTTTGGGTTTCCAAAAACAGCCTGTTCCCAACAGCCGAGGGAAGGATGTGCCCTCCTCTGCTGATCTGCATGGGCAGTGTGTGCACAACCAGTGGGCCCTTACCCAGCAGTCAGCAAAAGCTGCCCATGTGCAAGCTCTTGGGCTGCAGAGGTTCCTGCAGGTACAGGACTCAGGTCCCCGTACACGGACATGCCCACGCAGCAGACACCCCTCTTCAGCACTACACCAGTCTCCTGAAGATGCCTGAGAGATGTAGATTCAGGAACCATAAACAAGACCTGGGAACTAGAAAATGCAACCCCCTAGTCATTTGGTGGCCACTGAGGAGGGGGCAAGCCCCCACACACCTGGCTCACTGGTGTGACAGCTGATGCCAGTCGCCACTGCCCATCGTTGCCAGTATTTCTCCTGCAGCCCAGGCTGCTTGGTTGAAATTTTCAGCTGGGTTGTAGTTGCATTCTGAGGACACCGTGATAGTGGAGTTCTAAGTTTCTCTCTCCTGTTTCAAAAGCCGTCATTGCCTTCGGCTGCCACCCACTCGCCCACCCAGGAGATGAGCAGTTGCTAACGCTTACGCCTCTCCCCTCGCTGCTGACAATGAGCAGTGATTATAACACATGGGCACGCTCTCACGCACTGACTGCAGATCTCTTCCCAGCTCAGCTCAGAGGTGGCAGGGCTTTCTTTAAACAGCCCCTCTGTGCTTGGCAGGGAGTAGCAGGGAGGGGCTCCTGAGCAGGCCAGAATGGCTGCTGGGAGGATCTGAAGTCTCTCTGGTGCTCAGCATTAGCATCATCCTGTCCTGGGCCCGAGGCACGTCCCCAGCCTGTGCGAGGGCTATTGCAGACTTGAGTGGAGGGGGGCGACTGCAGCTTTCGGACCTGCACCCTTACTCAGGCTGTCTGCCTTGAAGCAGGACTTGGCTTCCAGCATTTTTGTGGAGCTCCCTGCAGAGGAAACACTCAGGAGTTTCCTGTTTTACAGCGCCAAGAAGCAAAGAGCAGGATGTGGGGAGGAGACAGTGCCAGTAAGGGAGACTGCAGCACCCCGACGTGAAGCCTGTGGCTGAAGGTGATTCACTTCCTGCTGGGAATGGGGGCCCCGGCTGCCAAGAGGCACCCACCGGGCACCCTGCAACCCCTCTCCTAAGGCACCTCCCTCACTCTGGGAGGGGGTCACCAACCTATCTGCTTGGTCTCACACACCTCAGCTGAAAGGAGCACCCCAAAAAGCACCCAGAGAGGAACCTCCGCAGCCCGTGCGCAGTGGTGTGCCTGGCCCTGGCCACGCGCCTGTCCCCTCCCTCACCACCACAATCCCATCCCACTCCTGTGCCACCCTGCCTCATACTGCCCACAGCTCATAAAGGCCCCGCAGACCCTGTCCTGCTGCGCGGCTGGCTGCAGGCAGGAAAGGCTATTCAGACCCGTCAGGATCCCACTCAGAAACGTCACCAGAGCGTCACAGGAAAGGCCAAAGCAGGCAGTTCCCTGAAAACAAAGCCCTGTCCCTGGCAGGCCTCAGAGCAGGGAGTTAATGGTTAACCTGGCGTTGGACACTGGCTGGGAAGTGAGAGCAGCCTCTTCCCCAGGACACAGCTGGCAGAGCGTGATGCCGTGCACACTGGGCAGCACTGGTTTTCAGGCCACAGCTCCTGCAGAGCTCAGGGGACAGGACTGTGCGTGACCCAGGAGCGTCATACCAGCCTGGAAGCGGGCAGCTCTGGCTCCCAAGTGATACAGCCTCCTTGCCACAGTGAGACCAAGCTCTGCCTCTGGGATCAGTCCCACAGCCCTTTTTGTAAGGAGGAGTGGAAAATGGAGAGCTACCGCCACAGCCAGGTGGGCAGAGGGGTGAGGCTGAGAGACCACTCTCCCCTTTCCTCTATGTACTTCTACATCCCAAATATTCCTGCAGCATCAGCTGTCCCTTGAATGGAGCAGGACACCCACCTCTCTCACACTCAGCACCCTGGGGAAGCCCCACCGTGGAGGCCAGTAGAGGCTCACGCTCAGTGAGCAACTGGGTGCAGAGAGGTGACCTTGCCCCGAAGACAACAGGTTTCTGCAGATAGAAGAAACAATCACCCCAAAAGGTGACCCGGGGTAGTCCAGTGCAGTATCCACTAGGAAGGAAGGGGCTAATGGGCACAGATCCCTGGGAAGAGACCCAGTACTGGTGGTGAACCACCCATCTTGTTGCTCCACCAAATCACACTGCTGAAGTTGGTTCCTACAGAGTCTGGAACATGGCTAGTAACACACCTTTGTGTCTGCACAGGATAATGCTGGGTGGAAAGCTCAGTGTGAGCCATGAGTCAGGATTTAGACCCTCCGGCTACACTGTCACAGCTCATGGGTCATAAAGAGCAGGAGAGGGATGTTGGGACTGAGTCACTGATCTCCTCTGTGGACGTCAGAGGCTGCTCAGAGGCCCAGAGGAGAACATGATTTAGGAGGAAACACTCAAATCTTTGAATGAAGTAGAAAATTGAACTAAGCAATTAATTGCACGAATGAATTACTAGTGTCCCTCAGGGGCTAATGATGTTTAATGTCTTTATTAACAACAAAGATGATGGGATGGAACATGCTCTCAGCAGGTTCATGGATGATACGCTGGAGGGTAGGGCTCCTTGACAAGACGGAGAAAGGGGTGGACAGCATCCTCCACAAAAAGAAGCCCAAGTCCTCCTCCTGTGGCACCAGGACAGACTAGGGATGATGGCTTGAAAGCAGCTTCACAGAAAAGAATCTAGGGAGTCCTGGAGGATGAAAAGTTGAACAGAGGTCAGCATTGTGTCCTTGTAGCTAAGGCAGCCAAGCACAGACTGGGCTGTGTCAGCAAGTGTGCAGCCTGCAGGTCAAGGGAGGTCATCCTTCCTCTCCAATTGCCTCTTGTGAGGCCACATCTAGAGTGCAGTGTTTGGGACTGCCCGGTACAAGAAAGACACAGATGTACTGGGCTGAGTCCAGAAGAGGCCACCAAGATGGCCATGGGCTGGAGCAGTGGACATACAAGGAGACACTGAAGGAACTGGAATTACTCAGCCTGAAGAAGAGAAAGCAAGACATCTTGGTGCCTGCAGCTACTGAACAGGAGGGAGAAGTCTGAGTCAGGCTCCGAGGCACACAGTGAAAGAAGCAAAAGATACAAGCTGAAGAAGAAAAATTCCAAGTAGATATTAAAACTTTTTTCCTTCCCCCCTCACTATGAGAGTGGTCAAGCACTAGCACAGGGTTCCAGGGAGTCTGTGGCACCTCCATCCATGGAGATACTTAGAACTCTTACCAGAGGCAGCCCTAGAACTTCCCAATACCTCCCCAGCTGACGTGATTTACTTCAGACATGAAAGAGGCTCAATCTAATTAGCTTAATAAGGAGAAGGAGACGTAAAGCAACACCTTCTACAAACAAGTATGTTGAAATTATTCACAAGAAGTCTTCCAGCAGAAGGCCCTTTAACTTCTTGGCATAGCCAGAACTAACCCCAATGCTTGAAAACAGAAGCTAAACAAATTAGTATTACAAATAAAGTGCACATTTGTAAGACTGAGGGAAAGCACCCATTATAAAATATTATCTTAGATGTAGAGGTTGCTTTATGCTGGTCATGCTTTGAGTGAGGGCTTGGACCAGAAACCTCCAGGGGTACTTCTAACCTAAATTACTCTGTCTGTTCATGACTGTTCTTCTCCAAGCTATCAGAAGGAATGGTGCAAGATTCAAACACTGGCACTACTATTAATGCTAATTAATATTGTTGAGGGATGTTTAAACAGAACTTGTTAAACAAAGCTGATAAGGCAATAACTTGCTTCGCTTGTAAAGGTACTGAACAATCTGACATGGATATATGGACTTCAGATTTCTCTCTCTTTTTGGAAAGTGAGCAGTTCTCATCCTAATTCTATTTTACATTTTCAGAAAAAAAAAAAAAAAAAAAAGGAAGAGGATGATCATTTTCATAAATAGCAAAAAAACTGTGGCAAATATAATCATAAGGATAGTTCAGTTAAACAGAGACATCTGAGTAAATGATAAAGTGAGATCAAAGACACCGAAGGGCTGTATCCTGGAAACACTGAAAAGGTTTAGATGGTCCGAGCAGAAATCTCAGGAAACACTGAAAAGGTTTAGATGGTCCGAGCAGAAATCTCACCTACAGAGGCAGCTGATATTCTGCTGCAGTTCAGAGGCAGACCCTCTTGGTTATATCAGCAGGAAACAGAGAAGAAGTATGACAGTAGCAATGCCATTATTTTGTATGCAGTACTGGACTGTGTATTTACACACCCAAGTCTGACGCATCTCAGCTTGCTTAAGTAGTGACACAGAGGAAGAGACACCTACAAGCAGCTCTTGAGTCTTCTAGATTCAAAGAGAAAAAGAAGCTCAAGTGTCTTCATCTGACCTTCCCAAGGAGACGGGACTTTGCACAGGAGGAGAGGAATCACACTTTGAGGGACTGTATTCTGCCCACTGACAATGAAGGAAACCTAGACACGGGCGCAGGTATCTGGATGGCAGTCATCTCCCCTAGGAATGATGCTCCTCTCCAGGAGCCATGCATCAAAAACACAAGCTGAAACTTTGTGAGAAGCTCAGACAAGTAGTAATGAGTGCTTTTTTATCCTTTAAAACTCTAAAGAAATCACTGATGTCACCTGAACAACAACAGCAATCCTGCATTAAGCCAAGAGCCACAATAACATGTTTGGATTTGAGTTCTTGAAAAAATGCTCTTCCGATGAGATATGTAGGAAGCCTGGGGAATCTCAATCTGTTATTTAAAGCAAATATCAAGGCAAAATGTGTGGCTGGTAAATACCT